TGAAAGATAAGTTACGGATGATTTCGTCTATGAGCCACAGGTGAGGAAACTGAAGTCCAAACCTCTGAGAATTAATGTCAATATCAGTTTACGGCCATGCAACCGGCAGCAAGTAACGAGCTGTAAATATGCATATAAGAATACTAGGGGGAAAAAATGAATAAATCCACATCCCACCTTCTGCTCTAACTGCTTCTGCCAGCTGGTGAAAACTTAAGCAATTGAGCTCTCTGAGCCTCAGAGAGGAGAGCTACCGAGAAACAGATCACCCAATAAACGGTATCCTGAGTTTGAAGCTCCCACTGGCCTTTAGAGAATGGACTGGATTATGCTAAACACCGGCCAGAGGGACTGTGCCCTGTACTCAAGAACTATTGGGATACAGGGCTGTTAAGTGTTCTTCACCGCCAGGGTCCAGACAGACCTAGGTATACGCTCTAGCGCCGCTCTTAGTTAACGGAGTCAACTTGGACTAGGTGTTCAACGTCCCAGCGTCAGTTTCCTCCTTTATGAGAGTTTCTCCAAGGTACCACAGAAAGTAGAAGGGATTATCATATGTAACTCCAATGTCTGATCCAACAAAAGCTCCTTGTTTTCATTCCCTATTCGCCTAAACCATTTACCCTTTTTTTTTTCCCTGTAATTATGTGTTCTGTGGCTACATCGGGAGGGTATCTACCAAGTGTATTTCCTCACTGTATCTACACTGGTTACCACTGTATCCATCACAGAGCTAGAACACAGTACATGTTTCCAACACTTTCCAAACTCACTCACTTGTCAACAATTCATTATCAATAATTATAAAACTATCCTGCCTTATTACTTTCTTACTCCATCCATGAAAAATAAAACCTAAAAAAATTCTTAGAAAAAAATAGCAAAATATGGAATATCTGACTTTTCCATGTAACTCATCTATATTTTTAAAATTACAACGAGGTAAATGTTAGATTCATATTTTAGTTTGACTTCAATATGGACCATACAGTGAAAATTATATAGGTGTGTAAAAAAATTTTTTTTTAATTTAAAAATGCTGGTCCAGTTCTAAGTGTGATTAAATCATTTCTTAATTTTAAAGTGTAGTCTTAATTACGATTAAATAATATGCATGATTTATTCTGGTGAGGACTGGCCATTGACTTTCTTATCTAACAAAATGGTTATCATTGCTATGCAGAACTGGATTGCAGGGGAAAAAATGAGAGGGCTTGAACTCTTCAAACGCCAATCTAATAGCCAAGCCCTTAAAAAATATATGTATAAATCCCACTACTGGGCACATACCCTGAGAAAACCATAATTCAAAAAGAGTCATGTACCACAATGTTCGTTGCAGCTCTATTTACAATAGCCAGGACATGGAAGCAACCTAAGTGTCCATCGACAGATGACTAGATAAAGAAGATGTGGCACATATATACAATGGATTATTACTCAGCCATAAAAAGAAACGAAATTGAGTTATTTGTAGTGAGGTGGATGGACCTAGAGTCTGTCATACAGAGTAAAGTAAGTCAGAAAGAGAAAAACAAATACCGTATGCTAACACATATATATGGACTCTAAAAAAAAAAATTTTAATGGTTCTGAAGAACCTAGGGGCAGGACAGGAATAAAGACACAGATGTAGAGAATGGACTTGAGGGCATGGGGAGGGGGAAGGGTAAGCTGGGACGAAGTGAGAGAGTGACATGGACATATATACACTACCAAATGTAAAACAGATAGCTAGTGGGAAGCAGCCACATAGCACAGGGAGATCAGCTCACTGCTTTGTGACCACATAGAGGGGTGGGATAGGGAGGGTGCGAGGCAGACGCAAGAGGGAGGAGACATGGGGACATATGTATATGTAGAGCTGATTCACTTTGTTATAAAGCAGAAACTAACACACCATTGTAAAGCAATTATACTCCAATAAAGATGTTTATATATATATATATATATATATATATATCTCCACCCTTGGAAAATAATTCATAAGTAACAGGTGTGGTCTCCAACCTCTGGAAGGCCCTAAAATAATTACAGATGCAGCCTGGGTTTCCTAGAATTTTGTGCTGGAATGGCTCCCAAATCTAGTCATCATTTTCATCCAAAAAAAAAAAAAAAAAGCAGTGAGCAGCTGGGAGTTCTTGGTACTGTGCTAAATAAATCTAGAGAGAATTAACTAGACCAAACATGATCTATGTTGTTTTAATAATCATAATCAAAAAGCAACTTTGATACAGATGCACACGAAGTCTTCCATCCCTTCGCTCGCTCATTAACTCATGCGCTCACTCATTAGCACACATTTACTAAACTACACACTATGTGTGTCAAAGTGCTACATTGAGTATCCGATGTTGATCAACATGAAGCTTCCGCTAAGGTTTTTTCCCTGTGAAATCACTTTTTTCACGTCATTTACACGGAAGGAAAGCATCATGTCTTAAATTTGAGATTAGGTGGAACAACAATGAAAAAGAATCATAATCTAATTGTTGACAGCTATCATTTTTAAGCTATGACTGCTTTGGTCATGAAAACAAAAGGCACTCTGTTCCTAGTATGAAAGAAGTTAGAGCTTCCGCAACTGTTGGAAGGGCTGTGGGACAGCAAGTCAGAGAGCACCACTGAGGATCTGAGTCCAGCCCCACCAGCGCGGTGCTTCTCAAGAGCTATCCTGAACCACCAGAGTCACAGGGTCCCTGGGAGTCTCCCAACTATTCAGGGCTAGAGCCAGGTTTTGTGAGACTTAAAGTTTACACGATTTAGAGAGCTGACTTTGAGAATAAATAAAAGTGTGAAAACAAAATTGCTAGCCACTTCCAGACTCTTAGAAAGAGCCCACGCAAGAAAGGAGCCCCAAAGTTTAAACTTCATCAGCTTCACCTTGAGTCCACCTGCACCAGCTATCCAAGTCAGCAATGAAGATGCTGGAGTTCCTCAAGAAGTTTATCTGGAAGCTGCTTTGAACCTCCATCTGCCCATGCATCTTCCTGTAACTGACTGGAAAAAAAATGCTGTCCTCTTCTGCCTTCTAAATCTCGAACTGTTGACTCCCATTGATAGTTTCCAACCTGGAACCATACAGGAAAGGAGATTCTGGGAAATGTAGTGCCTGCCTTTGAGGGGGCTTAAGGATGATGCTGAGTTGACAAGAAACTACCCGGCATATTACCCTAAGGAAGACAGCACAATTAATTGACTAAAGAGATTAAGGAGAGTTTAAACCATTCAAGAGACTAAAGCTTAAGTATGGAAGCATTGCTATATGAGCATATCTAAAACTGGAAAACAGCGAAATATTAATCTACATCTGGCTGATTCTAAACACAGAATTTGGAATTTAAAAAGTAGAGGAATAAGAGATCAAAGGTTTGTCATGGTCTCAAGAAATGTTCATGGGAGGAGGTACCCTGACAAGTCTCTGTCATTCACTAATAATGCATTCAATGCATTTATTGATTAGTCACATTAGGTGCCAAGGATATCATACAAATCAAGACCAGACTGCCCCTGTATTCGAGGAGCTTATGGTCTAGACCAGCACTGTCCAAATGAAATATAATTTGAGCCCCAAATATGATCCACATGTGTAATTTAAAAATTTCTGGCAGCCACAACACATAAAAATAAACAGATGAAATTAATTTTAATACATTTTACTTAACTCAATATATCCAAAATACATATTATCATTTCAACATTTAATCAATATAAAAATTATTAATGATATATTTTACATTCTTTTTTTTTCTTTTAGTACCACCTTTAAACTCTGGTGTGTATTTTAAACTTATACCATGTCTCAATTTGGACTTGCCACATTTAAAGTGCTCAATGTGGCTAGTAGCTACCATATTGCCACTAGAAGAGTTATACAAGTCTTCTAGACAGCTAGAAGTTTAGCCTGAATAATTCTCCAGAAGCCCATCGTGGAAAACGTCGTGGCCCTTCAATCTGGACCATGCATCAGTCTGTGGTAACCCATCAGGGTAATGCTACCTATAACACGCTTGATCTTCCTCATGATGTATAATACCCAAAGAATTTATATGAACTATAATTCTGAAGAGCTGTAGAGTATGTATTGATAAAGTTAATTTACAGTATCCATTCCATGTCATCACTGCCTTTGCAAACATACACTCTCCTTCTTTAACTTTAATATATATTGGTACCAAAGTGAAGATATATTGTGGGCTTTCTTCATTTTCATTAAGAGAACTAAGAGTAGGTGTAAGATTGTGACTTAACTCTCTCCTATGGGAAACTGGATTTAGGATTTGGAAAATGTTGCACTTCTAGATCTGAGATTATTGAGAGAGGAGAAGCAATTACTGAGAACTT